GCGCTGAAAAATGCAGGAGTCGAGGGAGTCATGGTCGACGTGTGGTGGGGATTGGTGGAGAAAGATGGACCATTGAAATATAATTGGGAAGGGTATGCTGAGCTTGTAAAGATGGTGCAAAAGCTTGGTTTGAAACTGCAAGTTGTTATGTCTTTTCATCAATGTGGCGGCAATGTTGGAGATTCTTGCAGGTATGTACTAAGTTGTCAATTGCCATTTCTTTTTAACTTAAATTATGCATAATCTCCCTTCTAACAAGTGCACGACATGTCTACCATAAAGATTATTTATCAATTGAAACTTTTGAAGATTTTAATGGATTTTTTTTAAATGATGACTTCGGTAGATTTCTTTGATTTTTTAGAAATTTGTATGGAATTAGTGCAAGTCTTTTGTAAACTTTTATAAAAATACACATTAATTTCTTTTTTTTTTTGAAAGTCTCCCAAATTCTTGCGATGAATGAGAGATAAATTTTGAAATTTTATTTTAGTATTTTCTGTTTAAAGGTTAGTACCATGGAGATTTCTATAAAAATCTCAAAAAATCATAAAAATTTGAATACCTCAAGATTTATAGAGACTGCTAAAAAGTTTTATTTGAATACACCATAACTTTTAGAGACTTTTTAAAAATTTATAAAAGTTTCAATTGAATACATCAAAACTTTAATTTGTTTCAATTGAATACACCAAAAAGTTATTAAAAGTGTCAATTGAATACACCTCCTAAATTTCACTTCGACCACCAAACTTTAATTTGTTTTAATTTCACCACCACGTTAGTCTGACATCCATTTTTAAAGTTCGATGATGTATATGAGTTGGAAATGTCAATCCTAACATAAGTTGATTATTTTTGTTTTTTGCAGTATCCCTTTACCCCCATGGGTGCTTGAAGAGATGAGCACGAATCCTGATCTTGTGTACACAGATAAATCAGGGAAGCGGAACCCCGAGTATATATCGTTGGGCTGTGATTCAATGCCTGTGCTAAGAGGTAGAAGTCCCATTCAAGTCTACTCTGATTATATGAGAAGTTTCAGAGAAAGATTCAACGACTACTTGGGAAATGTTATAGTGGTAATGCCCTTTTATAAATATCCTCGATTTTTGGCTCATTGTAAGTGTACTTATCTTACTTTTTGGATTAGTAGCTTACGTTATTTTTTATTATTTTAGGAAATTCAAGTGGGGTTGGGGCCTTGTGGAGAACTAAGATATCCATCCTATCCAGAAAGCAATGGCACCTGGAGATTTCCAGGAATTGGTGAATTCCAGAGCTATGACAAGGTACGGTTTATTTATTGTATTTCTTTTGGAAAAAAGATAGCTAAAATCTTGTTGATTATCGAGTAAATCTGAACATGAATATAATTTGTACGTATGTAATGTGAACAGTATATGCAAGCCTCATTGGCAGCTGCAGCTGAGGCGAATAGGAAGACTGAATGGGGATTCAGTAGCCCTCACGACTCAGGCCGATACAATCAGTTCCCGGAAGAAACTGGATTTTTCGGAAGGGACGGTACATGGAACACTGCATATGGGCGTTTTTTCTTAGACTGGTACTCTGGACAGCTAGTCCAGCACGGAGATAAAATCCTATCAGCTGCACAAGGCATATTCAAAGGAACTGGAGCTATACTATCTGGAAAAGTAGCTGGAATTCATTGGCACTACAATACAAAATCACACGCAGCTGAATTAACTGCTGGATACTACAATACTAGGAATCGAGATGGTTATTTACAAATTGCGCGAATGTTGAGTAAATATAGAGTTGTGTTAAATTTTACGTGTATGGAGATGAGAGATGGAGAACAGCCAGGAGATGCTCGTTGCTCGCCCGAAGGTCTAGTTCGACAGGTTAAGAAGGCTACAAAATCTGCTGGAACACAACTTGCTGGAGAGAATGCGCTGGAGAGGTATGATTTTGGAGCATTTTCACAAGTGTTGGCAACAAGTCAGTCAGATTCTGGAAATGGACTCGCTGCATTTACGTATCTAAGAATGAATAAGCGGTTGTTCGAAGCTGATAATTGGAGCAACTTTGATAAATTTGTGAAAAGCATGTTAGAAGGTCGTCGAAACACAAGACTTTCAGAGAGCGAAATGATCAGGACGAACCCGTATGTTGGATTCGTTAGTGTGAACAAGAAGAAGATCATAAAGGAGGATGCCCTTGTGTAAATGTAAGGGCTGTGCCTATTAAACCAGGATGTAGCTAGCCCCCAAATAAGTATATTGTATGGATTTTTAATCGATCATGTGGGCATATATGTAAATTATTGTGTATTAAATTAAAGACTATCCACCCGTTTAAAGTAATCTAATAAGGTTTCGGTATTTTAGGTTTTGAAACATTTAATTAAAGTGTGGGCATTTACGTTAATAGACCGTTAGTATATATATACGTTATGGTCATCGGATCATACGTGATTGTTCATTTTGTTCTGACTCCCATCATCAGAGAGAAATAAAGGAACGACGTGTTGATTTGGAAGATTAAAATTGTAGGACTCATTTGTTGCATTAACCATGTCTGATTCAGGTACGTTTCCACTTTGTTCATGAATTCTTGATGGTCCAACATGAATGATCATTATGACGGTAACACGTCTTTCCAACAAGTGGTATCAGAGCCTATTTATGTTGAATCATTGATAATCAAAATTTTAATTTGATTCTTGTAATAATTCCATTGTTTTTTTTTTTTTTTGAATTTAAGCAATTTCGGATTTAGTTTTGTTAAATTTGAAAATTATTCGGCCGATTTTCCATAATTTCAGTTATGTTTTAAAAAAAAAATTTGGTTGACGACGACATGTGACAGCGCGAGCGGGAATTTCCCCAGATGCTACATAGCGCGTGTTGTGCGCAGCGACGACAGGCATCGCTGCATAGTTGCGCACGACGTGCAGCTTTAGCTCTTGGGGGTGGAGCCGTCCCATCGGGATTCCTCCCTCCTCTCCTTTTTTTTTTTTTTTTTTATAAGTTTAGGGTTTCGAGAATTTTTTAGGGCAGGGGCTTGAGCTGAAAATTTGAAGATTTAAGGTCCTTGCTTGGAATTTCAGATTGGGGTTAAGATTGCAATATTTAAAATTTATTTTAAATAATTCAGCCCATTAAGTTTGAAATTTTAATAATTTCGCCCCTTTAAGTTTAAATCTTTAATAATTCAGCCAATTAAGGTCAAAATTCATCTCAATTGGGCTTTTAAAGTTCTAAGTTTAATAATTCAGTCCCTAAAGGTTGAAAACTAATTATTTTGGGTCATTAAAGTTCTGAATTTTATAATTAAACCCCTAAAAAATTATAATTTGCTTAAATTGGCCTATAAAGTTTTGTATAATTAATTATTGAACCCTAAAATTTTGG